ACCTGGAGTCATGGATCTTCTGAGCAGGACGCGATTAATGGCCCTACAAACTGCATCAACACGATTCCAACGGTCGACTTCCCCACTCCAAACTGGTTAGCGACCGATCGGTAGCTGTCTGGAGTTGTCAGCTTCCAGACTGCAATAGCCACCCGCTTCTCCACCGTCAGGGCAGCTCTCAATCTTGTGCGCCACAGGGTGGGGGCCAGCTCCTCACACAGTCCCATGAAAATGGCTTTTCTCATCTGAAAGTTCTGCAGCCACTGCTCATCATCCCAGACTTGCATGACGATGCGATCCCACCACTCAGTGCTTGTTTCCTAAGCCCAAAAGTGCCGTTCCACAGTGGTGAGCATGTCTGCGAATGCCACAAGCAATCTTGTTTCATATGTATTACTCGCGATGATATCATTGTTGGAGTCCTCAATGTCACTTTGGATCTTAAGGAGTAACTCGACTGCCAAACGTGATGCGCTGGCGAGACTCATCAGCATATTCCTCAGCAGTTCGGGCTCCATTCCCACAGACCGAAAGGGAAGCCAGAGCGCGCAGTACAAAACACGTTGAAAGATGGCGCCAATTGTGGACAGAAGCAGAGGGATTGCTGGGATGCGAACTGATACATCACAGGGTGTTGGGACAGGACCCAGAATGCCCCGCCCCCCACGTCCCCTTCCCACAAGCCACAGTGCCAGAATTGGAAGAGGTGCTCTGTGGGATAGCTGCTCACAATGCACCACTCCCAATGCCGCTACAAGTGTCGTAAATGCTAGTGCGCTTGCAGCTGTCAGTGTGGACAGACTGCAGCGCTTTCCCTACTGTGCTCTACAAAGGCTGGTTTAACTCAAAGCGCTCTACATTTGCAAGTGTAGCCATGGTCTCAGTTTCACAGATGCTTAAGTACAATTGTGCTGATTTTTACTTTCTAATCAGATCCCCCAGAAGAATTGACAAGTAAGGAAAGGATGGCAAGAGAACTAGAGAGTAGCAGAGTAAAAAAATTCTGACATCCTTCAATTTGAAAGAATCGAAAAGGAACAACTCTTCAGACTAAACTTAAACCCTAACTATGAAAACAGTTTGAGCACTTATAATAAAAATATAATCATTAAAAATTACCATTGACATTGCAGAGCATAGTAATCTCCACAGTATTATAAAATTAAAGTATTTCTAAGAGTTAAAAAACATGCAAAATTAGTTCTGATTTTATATTTGATTTTGAACTTTTGCAACAGAAGACCTATAAAGTTTGTGGGAATCCTGACCTACTCACAGCTGAATGCCACTATAGCAAATGTTATTTACATATGAATTTCAAGCCGTTTTAGAAATAATTGAACAGTTATAAGGTAATAATACACTATGTATGGGAGGCTTAATCCACAATTAATCCACAATTAATAATAAAAAATTACTATTTTTCCTTTAATTGTTCCTTTAATTGTTCTACCCTGGCTTAATGCACAATTAATCCACAATAATAAAAAATTACTATTTTTCCTTTAATTTTTCCTTTAATTGTTCTACCCTGAGACAAGCCAATAAATCACTGCTTTAAATTATGATTGATCTCACCTGATTTTTTTTTTTTAAAAATAATTGATTTAAATCAGGTTGAGACTTTGTAAAATAAAGTTGAAAATCTGTGTAGATTAAAATTTATAAATGAACTGAATTATAGATGCTGTTTACAAAAAAGAAATGGGAGGATATCTTATTTGAATTTTACAAAAGTGCTATAGTCAAAAAACCAAAATATTGAAAAATTAAAGTCCTAACCCTTCAAACACTTAAGCGGGTATGTAAATTTACTTTCATAAATAGTCCCATTGATTTCCACTATGCATGTGCCTAAGTGTATGCAGCATCAGCAGCTAAAATTGTATTTTTATTAGAAAGTTTTTTCTCAGCTTAAAAATCTCTCTCACTTCAAAATAAAATTACTTCAGTTTTAAAAATGAAAAACTGCTCAGACTTTCAATACATTAAAGTTATTGTGAACTTTTTTTTTTTTTTTTACACACAGGACAACATTTTGAAAAACAGGAGCTTAAGAAGCCCACTCTTTAGATACCTATGGGTGGGATTTTCAAAAGATCTCCGTGATTTAGGAGCACAAGTCCAAATGACTTCAAATATGGAGGAATGTAACCTGAACAAAGCATTTCAGCTGTCTTGACTTGTGGATTTTCAATACATTGGAGGGTGATTGGGTTTGCAAATATAGCAGGGATATTTGTTTATCCATTTTGTGTCAGTTTTTATTGTTCTTCTAGCAAGGATGCTAATGAGGTCCTAGACGTATGTGTCCTTTGCAGCAGATTAACATTTTAAGTGTGAAATTTCTTAGTAGCATTCTTTAATGTAAAATCAGAAGTTCTACTAACAATTAGAAAACCAATTAAAGAAACAAGTACTAAATATCCACTTTAGCCATCTAAAACTGTAAAACAGGAAGCAAAGAATAGGTTCTATAGCTACCCTCACTTTACAGATGGGGAACTAAGGTACAGACAGATTAAGGTCCAAAATGTCAGAAGTGTGCATTAACTGTAATTGCCCAATTTGAGACACTTTGGGCCTGATTTTTACTTAACATTTTTATAACACTATGTTGAAAACTTAACATTATAAAACTCAACATTATAATACTATGCTGAAAACATAGTTCCAATTGACTTCAGTTGGAAGCATTCAGCATTTCTGCAAATCTGGCCCAAGGTGTTTCACTATGGGAACTCAGAAAATTAGCGGCCAATTGTGAAAATTCTGGTGAAAATGACTTGCCTCAAATCAAAAAGGAACTCTGTGACAGAGGCAGGGATAGAATCCAGGTCTCCAGAATTCCATTACAGCATAAAACCATTCCGTTACTTTCCACAATCCCCTGCTTCCTTCTACGCACATTTCAACTCTCTTACAAATGAGGCTGGCATCCTACAGACGTCATTTATTATACAACCTTGATTCATTCCCAGATCACTGTCCAACCTGAGCACTGTATGAAATGGGCTCCTGTGATTTAAAAAAAAAAGAAAAAGTGCATGGTTGCAGGGCTGGATTAACCCATCACTGGGACCTAGGCAAACATACACTTCTGGGTCCCTACCTTCTAATATAAACAACACATGACCATAGAGTACACTCATTGCGATCGAACTGGCCATGTTGTGGATCTGCTATGAACAGCCACTCGGGGTGCTGCTCACCATAACAAAGGAGCAGCTGGGGCAAACCCGAGTGGTGCTGTAATCCCGTGAGCCAGGTTGCAATGCCATTCACTCAAGTGAGTGAAGTTTTTTAAGTGTGCATGCAAATCAGCATCATTAGTTAAAAAACAAAAACACAACCACAATCCATTTTGGTCCCTACCCCACAAATTTGGGCCCTAGGCATGTACCAACTTTGCCTATGCATTAATCTGGTTCTGCATGATTGAGTAATTAAAGGCTATCTAATAATGCATATGTACAAAGGTCTGTATTTAAGGTTGCAGGAGTAATGTTCATTCTGGCATTTCCTAACTTCTGAATGCTTGACTTTACAACCTTAATGTTCTTTTAATGTAGTTCTTTCGGGGGAAAAACTAAAAAGAAATTCTGTCCAGTGGAAGCATAATGACCCCCATCTTGGGTCATCAGCAGAATCTGGACCTTTAGATTCATAGCGAAGACTACCTCTTAAGATAGCAGAATAACTGGTAGCAGTAGAAGGCTGTTATCCTCTATGTAAACCAGCCACTAGAATGGGCTGAGACATACACTTTGCCAGTGGGTTTCACAGCTCTTTCACAGCAGAGGAATGCAGAGACACAGAACTCCTGGGTTCTGAAGGGGAGCATGCTGTGGTGGCTAATAGTCATTCTGTCCCTGTGCCCCCATCCTGTCCTTTCCCCCCCTTTCCCATCCATCCACCCCTGAGCTCCTGCCCCCTCCTCCTCTGTTCCTATCCAACCCCTCACCCCAATAGCCCTGTTCTTGGCCCCCACCCTCTCTGGTCCTATCCAAATCCCTCACTTCCCAGCTCCAGTCCACTTCCATCCTTGATCCTATCCAACACACCCCCTCCTCTTGCCCCCCCTTCCCGTTTGCTCATATCCAAACACTCCACCCCCCAGCACCTACCTCCCCAGCCACCTTCTGGCTGCTGCAACACCCCACACTTTTATCACGACAGCCCCAACCCTCTGAATCCAAATCAGGTCACCTCCCCATACTCACTGCCTTGGGAGCAAAGAGTGCTGCACAAGAGATACTGTCCCTGACAGCATGGAGGAGCAATTGCAGGGAAAGAACTATTCAGCCCTTGCAGCTCTGGGCTGAAGCATGCTCAGATGAAATATTTGGAGAATTTAGCTATCAAACGCCAATAAATCTCTTCTGAGTATTTTTGAAATGAGATTCTTTTGAGGCTCATTACTTGGCCAAATTTAAGCAAAATTTCATGTGGACAGCAAAAGGCACATCCCTGGCACCAGTATGAACTTCTTGCCAAAGTCTGAAGCATGGAGGCACCGGAGCTTCTCAATGGAACTGTTGTAAAAATGTTTTAAACATGGGCAAAACAACATATTTTCCCCTAATCTCATTTTTGGAAACAACTAACCCAATTAGACAAACTTTGAAATAAAAATTTAGCCTGAGACAGACACCCAGCACAGAAAATTTCAGCCAAAACGGTTAGAGTTAGGCAAAGCTACAAGTAACTGAAAACAAGGTCTCAAAATGGAAAGTATTGGATGACCTTAATCTTATAGGCAATGCTACCAGCTCCATTTAAAATAGAAAAAAAACATTGAATAAAAAAATTATTTTTAGTTAAGCTAAGGGTTCATTATAAATAATGAGAAAAACATATAGAAAATGAAATTATTTGACAACATTTTTTAAATTATTCATTTTTAGCCATGTATATACAGAACATAATGTACTGGAAAAATATCCAGGACTTGCATATTATTTTTCCCACTTTGTAAACACATATGATTTTTAACTTACCCCTCCTAGTTCCTTAAGATCCTTCTCTAATTTTTCAGAGATCACATTAGAGGGAATATCAAGATAAAACACCTTCCCAGTAAGTGGCTTATATTTCGATTTCTCTGTCTTTGTGGTATCTTTTCTCAAAGTTTTCAGAGAAGGTTTATTTTTTTCTGTTTTTCCTTGCGTTCCACCTGCTGTCAAAAGGGTAGATAATTTAAATAGGATTATATTTTATGTACTTTTGTGTTTACAAAAATACATTTCCCTGTTTAAGGCCAAATTCAAGCAGGAAGAGTAGGGGAAGGATAAGCCAAGGTGCTGCATGAGCAGGATACATTTTTGATTAACTGTGACCCTAAAGCACACAAGAAAAAAAAGTACCTTAAAAATAATAGAGCACCTTGCTTTAAAATAATACAATATTAAAGTTTTGTTCATTATTTCATTTTTCAGAAGACATTTTGATGCCTATCCAAAATAATTTAAAAACAATGACACGAATATTAAAGGGGAGCAACCACCAAAGGCCCCAATCCTGCAAACAAACAGTTATGTATATCCTTAACTTTAAGCATGCAAATTTACTCAATGACTCCAGCTGGATTACTCACAGCTTAAAGTTAAGCATGTGTATAAGTATTTGCAAGTGTGGGGCCTAATTCATTCAAATTGTTCTCTTAGGGCATGATCCAAAACCCACTGAAGGCAGTAGAAAGATTTCCAGTGAATTCAGTGGATATTGTTATCAAGTCCTTACAATTCTACTATTAAAATCCTCTTTTACAGTTGATTTTCTTTTTTACTATTAGCAGTATAATGTCTTCTTTTCTTTCCACCTGATTTGCCAAATATTATGTTGTGTTTGTAATGATGCACCACTAGAAAATGTACTGGTATCATCAAGAACACACAATGTTCTGGGAACTGAAAGTACCTCTCTTTACTATTCTCTTAAAGTAGCAATACTATGTTTGGGTATGCTATCTGCAAAACAAATATTTAAAGACAAACAAAATATCAAAAAAGAAGATTAACGACTAGTTTCTCCTCTGTCACTTGACTTCAGATTTATTAAACAGGTAGAAGAACTCAATCCAACTCCCATTTAAATCATTGAGAACTGGATAGAGTCCTAAATGAGGGCAGAATTTGAATCTAAACAACCAATAACCACTCAATAATTCAATTTTTCTAAACAGCAAAAGAACTTTAGGGTAATATCTCACTGCAATCATTCATGGAAGAACTATTTCCACGGGACTTCAGATTAAAATTTTGCAAACATACTAGATTAAAAAAAACCTAAGTACGTTTTAAAAATTAATACTGTCTTTTCTTCTGCTCTGTCATTTTATTTAGATTGTAAAACCTTTGTGACATGGATTTTCCCTTGTTATGTGTATGTACACTGCCTAACACAATGGGATTCCATACTGGGTGGAGGCCTCTAGGTGCTGCCATAATATGATTAAATAAAGTTACAACAGTAGTATGGTAGGACCTACAGGAAACTCTCATCCTGGGTGAATCAACTTGCAAGGGTGGGACCTTAAACGGAAAATGAAAGGTAACTAAAATAATGTATATATCAATTATCTTATCTAGGTTACTTTAATACCAGAAATTAACAAGACAAATACATTTTTAATACCAAAAGCCTCATTCCTGCAAGCTGCTCTGTGAGAATGGGTTTCAGAGTAGCAGCCGTGTTAGTCTGTATCCGCAAAAAGGAGTACTTGTGGCACCTTAGAGACTAACAAATTTATTTGAGCATAAGCTTTTGTGAGCTACAGTTCACTTCATCGGATACATTCTGTGAGGATGGACCTGCTGCGAGGACGAAAATGATGTCAATGCGGGAAGGGGGGGGGAGAGGAGGGGTCTCTGCCTGCATGGAGCAGTTTATAGGGCCTAGGCCTAATCTACTCTTCCATATATCTACTAATTACTTATTTTCAGCACTTCAGACAGCTTGTACAATGAACAGGCTAACCAGTTTCACTTATTTCTAGTCAGTTTCACTTTTTGTTCTCATGTATCAGCATAAAGCAGTATTGAGCTTCCAACACTAGAGAGAGAGGTTTTAAAAACCTAACCATTTCAGCTTTCTTTTGAATTTTCAATTAGCGGAAGGTGGTGGTATTTACAAATACAGCAGAGATATTCATTTATCCATTTTGTGTTTGAGTTGTTGTTAATAACACTGCTTCAATGGGACTATCTGAACAAATAAAATTAAACATGTTTATGCATTTGTAGGAAATGGTACATCAGGCTTCAGTCCTAAAACCAGTGCCATGCTCCTAGACCCTTGAGCCCACCAGGAAACAAAATGCTGGATTGAGGCCCCATCATAGGTACTTAAATGTCATAAATGTCGCCCCATTGTTATTTGAAGGGCTTGAGAAAAGCAGTTCCCTGTTAGCAATTTACCCAAATTAACTTGTTAAAAAAATCCATTCCAGCAACTGAATGAGATTTACAATCACTTTGAACTGCTTTCCATTATAGCTTAAAATCACATGGGGAAAGACCATCACCTACTTGTAACTTGTCTTTTGTTGCTAATCCTCATAGCATTTGGTTTCATTTTCTTGGTGAGTCACATTTTTCTGTCCACCTTCCTTCCGAGGGTTATGACCTGCAGGAGAAATAGTTCAACAGAGAATTTAAACGCCCAAGAGAGGGACAGAGGCAGCCCATGCACACTCCCCACACGGAGTTACTGCTCCCTGGCTCCCATCCCCAACACACTGCTGCTTCCAAGTCCCAGTCACCTCGACCCCAGCCACCACGCCTCTGCTTCTCCGTCCCTCGCTCCCCACGCCCCAGCCACCGCTCCCCCATCCCTTTTCCAACCGTCACCCCCGCCCCAGCCACCGCTCCCCCATCCCTTTTCCAACCGTCACCCCCGCCCCAGCTCCCCCTGCCCCTCTCCCAACCGTCACCCCCGCCCCAGCCACCGCTCCCCCTGCCCCTCTCCCAACCGTCACCCCCGCCCCAGCCACCGCTCCCCCAGCCCTTTTCCCCCAGCCCTTTTCCAACCGTCACCCCAGCCACCGCTCCCGCTGCCCTTGCGCCCTGATCGCGGATGAGGAGGGCCCTCCTGTTGCTCGCTCACCGTAGGCTCTAAGGCCGGTAACCAAGGCCGAGCCCCGTCCCCGCAGCGTCTTAGGCGCTTTCCCGCCTCACGAGTCCGACCTCAACAAGGGCCTACTCGCCCGGCCTCCTTCCTTCCCTGCGCGTCCCGCCGGGGGGCGGGGCTGACTAGCACCACCCCCTGAGGAGGCGGCACGGCCGACGCTGCCCGGCAGAGGGGGATGCTGGCGCAAGGCTAGTGTCGGTGCCGGGGCTGCGCTTTCCCCCAGCGCTGGGAGCAGTGACTCGGAGTGGGCTCCTGCCTCCCAACAACCCGGTACGGGACAGCGCGCGGGCGGCCTCGGGGGACGAGCTCTCGGGGTGGGAACGCTGCGGTAGGGGGCACAGGTCCCTAAGTGGGGGAGCGACATCAGTGGCCGCAATCCTGAGGCGATGGTGCTTGGGGAAGGAATGGGGGCAGTTGTCACTAGTGGGGAAGGGTGTGGGGGGAAGAAGGGGAGCTGTAGTCACTCGTGGGGGAAGGATATGGGGGGAAGGAGTGTGGGTTGTAGTCACTAGTGTGGGGATGTGAGAGGGGTGTGTGTGTGTAGTAGAGGCTGATGTTCCTAAAGGGGACTGTGTCTGGGGGGGCGGCGGCGAAGGAGCTTTTCCATGAGGAGAGCAAATTCCCTTCAGCCTGGGGTGTGGGCAGAAATCTGTAGGAGGACATGATCTTGAGGAAGGGTTGATGATGTCCCTTCAGTTTCGAGGACTGAAGTTTCTGAGGCCTTATCTTTACTGGGGGTGTGGGGAAGTGTGTTCTTAACTAGAGTTAGCTAATTCAAGGGAAAATCCCAGTGAACTTGAGTTAGCTCACCCAAGCTAAGAGCACACCTTTTTCCCAGTGAAAGCCTATGGAGGCATGAATGATACCAGCCTTTTTGGCGGTGATACATGGACTCTCTGGAGGTATATGAGCTTGTGAGAAGATCTGTTTAGACATAAAGAAAAGCCCAGAACCATTAGAGGTCAGGTTTGTTTATACTAGAAACTTTTGCAGCTTTAACTATATTGATATAAAAATGCATATACGTTTCAGGAAGCAAGGTAAGCAATATTGATATAATTGTGCCCAGACTAGGGCTTATACTGGTGTAACTATATCGGTCAAGGCAAAAAAATACTTGTAAGAACCAGCAGTGCTGGGACCAAAGGGATTCTGTGCTGCTGTATAGCTAGTGGAGGGCTTTGTGAGGCTGGGCTTAACAGGAGGTACTGCCCAGCAGGACTTGAGTGGTGGTCCTTCGGAGCCCACTGATTGGCTGGTACCAGTACTTAACCCAGGAAGCTAAGAGGGGAAGGTGTCTGAGCAACAACATGGACTGCCTGCTTTCCGCCACTCTAAATTCTGCTTGCACTAGACTGTAGATTCCAGCTTCTGACCCTAATTTGTCCTTGGCTTTGCTCTTCTATTGCTGTTTGTAACCTGGCGTCTGACCCTCATCTTCTGGTAACCTGCCTACATCCTGACTCTTAGTTTGTCCTCTGGTCTGTCTTGTACTCTGACCTCCTGCTACTTGACTTGGCCCAACTCCTGTTCCGACCACTAGGTCTGACCACCGTTGTCCAGTCGTGACACAGACATAGTTTTAGGGGTTTAACTTTTCTAGTTTAGGTGAGGCCTAAGTAGAAAGATTGCTGAGACACCATTGGTGAAAATGTTATAACAGCGGTTATATAAAATTTTATGATTTAAGAGTTCCTGTCTATTCCTGATGTATATGATTTTATGGCATCCCATGCCCCATTTTTATAATCTTATTATACTCAAACCTTTTTCTATCCTTCACCATTGTGCATGCATGGCTGCTTAAGATGTGGTTTTTCGTTTGTTTGTTTTTGAAGAGTTGCTTATAATTAGTAGACTCACTGCATTGACATAACCTTCGAAGAAAACAATATTATAATATTTATTTTTCAATAAGGAAAACAAAGAACAGGAACTTGCAGATGCAAGAAAATAATTGCCAACAAAGGTAAATCTACTGCTGTTTTGCAGTTTTCAGTTATAGCTTTCTATGCAATTATATTTCAAGTTTCAACAGAATTCTTATCATGTCATGAAATATATCTTGTAATTCATGAATTGGACCACGGGTTTGTTAGAATGTTCTATCAGTTCAAATGTATTTTTCCTAATGAATCCTGCTTTATTGCAAAACAGCTGAGAATTTTTTTAAGAAATCTGAATTTGCCAGAAACTGGGTATTTGTAAGGTAACCCCCGTTTGCTCAAAATGGCGCTATGTCCCCCTCTAGTGGTGGCTAGGCACCCAAAAGAATGATGAGTCTGCTTCATCCTTGGCTAACAGATATTTCTGAGGGCATTCTGCACCAAAAAATTAAAAATTCTGAGCACAATATTTTAAAATTCTGCATGTTTTATTTGTCAATAAATAAATGCAGAGGCTCCAGCATAGCAGTGCATGAAGGTGGGAAATCACCCTGCAGCCTTCCTATCATGGGGACATGAACTCAGTGATGAGGCTGCACCCAACCCTGACATAGCACAAGGCCTGGGCTTGCCCCAGAAACACTCTGGGGCCCTGCCCCTCTGTGCTAGGTGCATGAGGTGTGGGGCAGGCAGGCTGCCTCAATCAGGCAGTAGCCAAGTGTGGAGGGGCTCAGTGTGGGGGGGATCCAGGTGTGGGGTCAGAGGATTATGTGTGGGACAATCTGGGTGCAGGCAGCTCAGTGGGTGGTGTAGCTGTTGGGGGATCTGGATGCACAGAGGCTTCTCTGCGGGGGGGTTCCAGATGCAGGGGCAGTGGGACTTCGCAGGGACTTCCAGGTGAAAGTGGTTGGGGCTCAGGGGAGGGGGTCTGGATGTGGGGTCTCAGCAGGGGAGTCTGCATGCTGGAGTGGGGCTTGGTGAGGTGCAGGTGTAGGTACAGCTAATTGGGGGTCAGTGGTGTGGGGGTCTGGATGTGAGGGCTCAGGGTGGTGCAGGGGTATGGTGCTCATCAGAGATGGGGTTTGAGTGCAGGGAGCTCAGTGGGGGGTAGTCTGGGTGCAGAGGTGGGGGTCCAGAGGCAGGGAGTCGGGGTGCAGAGGGCTCCAGATGCGGGGTTGAGGTTCAGTGGGGTTTGGGTATGGAGGGCTAGGAAGGTTCTGGGTGTTCGGAGTGAGGCTTGGTGGTGTCTGGGTATAGGAGGTCTGGATGCATGGGGGTTGGGCGGATGGGGGAGCAGCTCCCTATACAGTGACCCTTCAGCTGGGGGAGGTTTCTGAGGGTGGGTCTGACATAGCCGCAGCCACTCCTTGCAGGGGAAGAGGAAGTCCTGTCCTCTCCTGCCTCTAGCCCAGCTGGGATTAGCAGCTGATCTCAGCTCAGGGTAGGAGCCACTGGCTGCGGTATGCCCAGCCCTGTGGTGATTTACCTCTTCACCGGCTGCTCCGGGTGCCTGAAACAATGTACCTGTGCAGCTAGTGAGTGGTGTGTGACTGCTCTTGCATTTTCCCTTTGCTTCCCTGTCAGAAAGTCATTTTTCTGCAGGGAAGCAAATAAATATGTGGGGAACATGAATTCTCCACATGCGTGGTGGTGCAGAATTCCCCCAGGAGTAAACAGAGATGTATTTTAGCTCATTCAGTAGAAGCTCTTGCATTTAGCTCCAGAGGGTCTCAGGTTTGATCCCCACTGCCAATGCCCATGTATGGGTTGGCATTACAATAACAAATCTGTGTTTTTGATATTTACAGGTCTTTACAGGATTTTAATGGAGCTGAACTACAGGCTTATTAAAAGAAAACAATTTGAAGTAGTTATTACATGTCATAATGTCCACTTCTCCATTACAATGCCCTTCTCAATCTTTAAAATTTCTTATTCTCAAGTAGTAACTTCTTTAAAATGCCTTTTAAAGCCTCTTTGCTGTTCATCTTGAATAAAGCACTAAAATTAGGGATGAATGTGGAGCTGAAACCTCCCTTTAATATAGGTGTGATGCGCAGGACTTCTCCTACGACTGATCTTCATTTACTGTTCCTTTGTGTGTGAGACTGGTCAACTTTTTTTTTTTAAACCTCTAACTGATATTTATGTTGGTATTGTAACCCTTCTGCCAGGTACCAATGGCAGCAACAAGGACAACATTCAATAAAACTATGGCTTGAACCACCACCCACATCTGTACTCCTACCTCTGGCTCTGGGAAATCAAAATAAAACCTTCCTGGTCACTTCTGAGGGTGGGTTTTCCCCATTCAGAGCCCTGGAGAAGCATGAAGTCATAAGTGTCTTTTTATTTAGGGAAAAACAATAAAAACATGAAAACCATGTTCATATTAACATACAAGAAAATGAACAGCCCAAAATCAGTGCACAGGCATACAGTTCCAAATTGTAATTGTCTTGCTCCTTGACCCAGAACTCTTACTATTGTCAGGAAGGAGTTAAAATTCAGCTAGCAGAAAAGACAGAAACTGCTGAGACGCAAGGACATAGTTTCTGTCAATACATGATACCTTAGCTCAGCATATATGGTCAGTGCCCGCCCAGTAACTCAGTTCTTAGAGCAGAACAAACCCTCCCTTCACAACCCACCAGATATCTAAGCACTCATCCCTATCCTCCACCCACCTCACTTCCTTTCCCCACAAGGTGGTCATAGAGGTTTGATGCAATTAGGATGACCCCTATATGTACGTACTGTTCTTATTTTTATCTTTGTTCAGGGTTCTCTTGACTTGTAACAATGTCTGTCTCTGTATGAACAAATAAATGCAAATTAATTGTTAAGAGAATGTATATAACTGGCCACTCTGGTACCATATCTTTGAAGCTGCTTGTCAGTCTTCCCGGTACCGTGAATAAACCCCCTTCAGTATTGTCTGTGCTTGTCTGATTCTTGGGGAAAAGATTCTTTTCCCTAACAGTGTCAATACAAACCACACTTACCCCAAACCCCACTCACTGGTCCAATTAGATGCAGTGGAAGCTGAGAAGTTGCTCTGCTCTGTCTGACTGCACCGGTCCAGAGAGAACTACTCCTCCATGTCCCACTCTGAGATGTAGCTACCTGATCCAATTCTGTGATATTACTTGTGTTTTTGCTGGCGTTGTGAGCCACGGCATAGCAAAGTCAGCTTAGTGCTGTTGCCATCTGTACAATCGGCTCTGCGTGACTACAGCCGTTGTTCCAGTCCTGCAGATTTACTCCACACAGGGCAAAGCATCTTCAGATGGAAAACGAAGACAAGACCCTTGCAACTGAACTCTTAGTCCTTAGGATAAAGCTGTTTTCCCCTTGTTTGTGCTGGACTTGAGTTTTGTTACAAAACCAAAGTCCCTATATAATCAGGGTCAGTGGTTCTCAACCTTTCCAGACTACTGTACCCCTTTCAGGAGGCTGATTCGTCCTGTGTATCTCAAATTTCACCTCACTTAAAAGCTACTTGCTTACAGAATCAGACCTAAAAATACAAAAGTGTCACTGCACACTATTACTGAAAAGGCCTCTGTGTATCCCTGGTTGAGAACAACTGCTCAGGGTGATCTATTCATTCCAGGGCATACCCTGCACAATTCCTATGTCCTTTCATGAGTACAGTAATAATAATCTATTATTATTTATACCTTGAAAACAAATTCCAACTAAAGCAGCAAAACTCAGAAGATGGAATTATAGATAAACAATATTGTTTTTGTAAATGAAGCTGGTCATAGGTGGCTTTTTCCTTTCTTCCCTATAGAGGGAGCAGAGAGTTGAAGCCCTCTGTCTTCTGGCCTGGGACTTACAGTATGAATGCAAGAGAAAACAATACAAATCCAATATAAAAAATAGCCACTGTGTCTTGGTTGAATCCAACTTTGATGGGTTGAGGTCCTATCTGCAGTTTCCACCCACTGCCTGGGATCCACCCTATGTTCTCTCCCCGGTTGTAGTACCCGTTCTGCTGATGAGGCTCTCCAACACTTCTCCAGCTTAACATGCTTGCACAATGTGTTTCTTTATATATTGGAGTTGCAAGTGATTTCCTTATGAAGGTGCAGTGATTGTGAATAGTTAATGTGATGTCTGGGTGTGAAGGCATTTCTTTGCTTTTAAGAATATCTGGTGGGTTTTGCATGCAAATAACCTTAACTTTTAACCAAATTTTTGTTGGGTGAAAATGTAAGTTCCCAAAATATTTTGACTTTTGGTCCTATATGGCTAATTTTGCTTCATAGAAGAGTGTGTGAGGGGAGATCTTCAAAGAAATCAGCTAGGTTCCATTACTGGGAGTGTGGAATCCTTTTCTGAACCCAAGTTTATAAACCACATTACAGATGTAGTATATCTTCCTTCCTACTTGACCAAGGGTTTGGGAACTTGTGAGTTTGCTATATGAAGGATTCTCCTTTTGAATAGGATTACTACCTATTGGGGAAATGTGTGTGGTCTATGTTTTGACAGTAGTTTTAATACAAAATAATTTTTAAAAAATGCTAAAGAGACAATGTGGAGTGGTTGGCAAACAAGTTCCTTATTTGTTTCACTAACAGTCAAATCAAAAACATGCTCTAGAATGGTGGTTTTCAAACTTTTTTTCTGGTGACCCAGTTGAAGAAAATTGTTGATGCCCTTGACCCAACGGAGCTGGGGATGAGGGGTTTGAGGTGTGGGAGGAGGCTCTGGGCTGGAGAAGGGGGTTGGAGTGCGGGGGGGGGGGAGTTGGCTCTGGGTTGGGGGTGCAGGCTCTAGGCTGGGGCTGGGGATGAAGAGTTTGGGGTTCAGGAGGGAGCTCTGGGTTTGGAGGGGGCTCAGGGCTGGGGCACGGGCTTACCTTGGGCAGCTGCCGGTCAGCAGCGTAGCGGGTTGTTAAGACAGACTTCCTACCTGTTCTGGCACCATGGACTGCGTTGCGCCCCAGAAGTGGCCAGCAGCAAGTCTGGCTCCTAGGTGGAGGCGCATGGCTCTCACTTGCAGGCATTGCCCCCCACAGCTCCCATTGGCCAGGAACCAGCCAATGGGAGTGTGGAGCTGATGCGCAGGGCAGGGGCAGCGCATGGAGCCCCGTGGGCCCCCCCAGCCAAGGAGCTGGACATACTGCTGGCCACTTCCAGGGTGCAGCATGTTTTCAGAACAGATAGGGACTAGCCTGCCTGCCTTAGCTGGGCAGCACCGCCGATGGGACTTTTAATGGCCCAGTTGGCGGTGCTGACCAGAGCCACTGCAACCCAGTGCCTTACATTCTGTGACCTAGTACTGGGTCACAACCCACAGTTTGAAAACCACTGCTCTGGAAGAGTTTTAAAGAGATTTGTCTGCATCATGTAGCCAGTTAAGATTAGCCTTTATAATGGGGAGATTAAAGTCATTAGGTAGTAAAGACAAATAATAGAGCACAGCATTTATATAGAAGCCTTTAAAATTTACAAGAACTTTGCAACATCAATAAAATAACAGCTGCACTAGTTATATGTACATTTAGTAAGACATGCCTTAACTTTTAGATCATACTTGTCCCACATACTATTCTTTGGACTTGTGGCTTTCCTGGCTGGTGAGGACAGGCTGCTGGCTTCTCCTGGCCTTTGTTCAAGAAATGAAAACTTGATGTCAATAATCTCACTAACTATTGGTCAATACTGCATGTTCTATTTCTGGGTAAGATTATAGAGACTTTTTTTATGAGATAAGCCTGAGTATCCAGATGTCTGTTCTTCTTGAGTCTTTTCAGTTTGGGTACAGACCTGTATAAGGGGCAAAAACAGCCCTAATAGCATTGGTAGATGATCTCTTCCTGGTGATGAGGAAGATCAAATGTTCATGCTGATATTGATAGATCTGTTAGCCTTTGGGAGTGCTGACCATGAGGTATTATTGACTTGCTCTTGGATTGCAGTAGGGATGGTAGGGAGGCAGTAGGGAGCATGTGCTGTTCTTTAATGGTTCCACCCTTTCCTTACAGAGCACACCCAGAGAATGGTGTTGGGCAAGTGCTCTTCCTCCTTAAAGACAACGTTGTAAAATTCTGCAGGGAAACATTACTCCTCGGGGAATTCTGCGCCACTGTCCATGTGCAGAATTCATGTCCCCCATAGATTTTCTTTGCTTCCCCGCAGAAAAGTGATTTTCTGACAGGGAAGCAAAGGGAAGATGCAAGAGCAGTCACACACCACTCCCTACCGGTGCAGGCACATCATTTCAGGCACCCAGAGCAGCCAGCGGAGAGGTAAATCACCACAGAGCTGGGCACACCCCAGACAGTGGCTCCTACGCTGAGCCGGGATCAGCTGCTAATCCCAGCTGGGCTGGAGGCAGTAGAGGATGGAACTTCCTCTTCCCTTCAAGGAGTGGCTGGGGCTATGTCAGACCCACCCTCAGAAACCTCCCCTAGCTGTAGGAAACTCAGCATCCTCCACGCTTCCTGTCCCCATCGCTCCACAGCTGCGGGGGGAGGGGTCACTGTACGGGGAGCTGCTCACCCATCTGCCCAACCCCCACACATCCGGACTCCCCATACCCGGACACCCCTGCCAAGCCTCACCCCGTACACTCAGAACTCCCCTAGCCCTCCATACCCGAACCCTACCCCATGGAACCTCAATCCCTGCACCTGGAGCCCTCTGCACCTAGACTGCCTGCCTCCAGACCCCCACCCCTGCACGCAGCTCACCCGCCAGTTAGCTCCCTTCACTCAACCCCCCACTCTGATGAGCACCACATCCCTGCACCACCCTGAGCCCTAACACCACTGACCCGCAATTAGCTGCACCCAGACCCCCACCACTCCCCACTCCCCCAGCACCAGACCTCTTCACTGAGCCCCAGCCTCTTTCACCTGGAAGCCCCTGTAGAGTCCCATTGCACCTGGAACACCCCCTCTCCCCACTCCCCACGAGCCTCTGTGCATCCAGAAGCCCCCACACCTAGACCCTCTACTGAACTGCCTGCACCCAGATTGTCCTACCCAGAATCCTCTGACCCCACACCTGGATCGCCCCATGCTGAGCCCCTCCACACTTGGATCCTGCCTGCCCCACACCTGGTGCCCCTAGCGCAAAGGGGCAGGGCCCCACGGTGTTTCTGCAGCAGGCCCAGGCCTTGTGCTGTGTCAGGGTTGGGTGCAGCTGCACCTCTGAGTTTGTGTCCGGGGGATGGGGAGGCTGCAGGGTGATCTCTCACCTTTGTGTACTGCCATGCTGGAGCCTCTGCATTTATTTATTGACAAGTAAAACTTGCAGAATTTTAAAATATTGTGCGCAGCATTTTTAATTTTTTGGCTCAGAATTAGTAAGTTTTTGGCCGCAGAAGGCCTTCAGGAGTAAAACATATATCTTCTCCTGTTCAGCATGAGTGTGGTGTTGCTAGGATGGTTAGCGAAGAGGTATGGCCTGCAGTGCTTTCAGAGTGCTGACAACATCCAGCCATTTCACTTGAACTAGCAAATGCTGTTGAGCTTCCTAGCTTGGGAAGATGTGGACATGGATTAGAGCCTCTTTATTTTTAATGTTTAAAAGGTATTAAAAAGCTAAAGTTAAATATATATCAGAGTTTTTTGTTTTAATTTTTATTTAAGTAAACATAGATCTAATTTTTTTTCAGAACAAGCTGTAGAACAAAAACATTTTCTAACTTTTACAATCGATAACTTGATAATATTGGTATGCAAACAGAAGACTTTACACTATACTACTATTGCTTTATTTAGTCTTTTATTTTTTCTAATGATTTTTCCATAAGTTTTTTGAAAACAATCTTGTTTCTGTTTATTAATAGGGTGCTTTTCTATGAGAGGAAAATTATGGGTTCTGAAGAGAATACCAAAGAATTGTATAAAATAACCCCTACTCAGCAAGCAATTGCCTCTTGTTGTGGAGCTATTGTTACATCACTCTTGGGTAAGACAAAATATTGATCAAATTTAGCATAAAGTAAATCATAACTCTATCTTTTGTTTAGACAATTTTAAAAGAGCTTTAAACATTTATTTTACATATGTTTATTCTGCTGTGCTATAGCACAATAAAGCCTTTTGATGTGTTCTCTTTCAGCATTACCATTTAAGTATTTTGAACGCACAAATACTTTGGAATCTTTCCAGTCTCTTGACAAAATGTAGTCACTTCCAAAAATGGGAACAATTTTTATTAACTTTTATCATTGTTTCCCCTCCTTTACTCTGTAGTGTCACAGAAAGGTAAATTATTATATCTATAATCATAATGAGGCTAAACAAGTTTTGATTCAGTAATTCCTACTTCTGAATCATGGATGACAGATAAAGGTCTGTGTTGTAAGTGGTCAGTTTACTATGCTAGTCTTCAATCCTGAAAGCACTATGCATGTGAGTAATTTTACACACGAGTCATCCCACTCAGTTCAGTGGGGCTATTCACCTGCACAATTCAGTGGGGCTATTCACCTGCACAGTTCAGTGGGGCTATTCACCTGTTCGCAGGATCGGGAATTCAGCTATAATGAACTTGAAAATGTATTGGAGAATTTCTTCATTGAGAAAAAGAAATAATTATAATTTTTTAGCGGCAGCATGAGTTAGTGGACAGACCACAAGGCTGGAAAAAAAAGACAGGAAGCCAACAACTTTCAAACTACTGTCCCAATTCTGACTTGCTGCATAGACTTGAGCATGTTCCAGCTGTATAATGAGGCTAACACCTGTCTTGTAGGAGAGTTGTGGAGATTGATTCATTACTATAAAGTGCTTCAAAGCTGAAAAATATTATAAAAGCTAACAGTGGTGTTTAGTTAGAGGAGTTTTCGGTTGAGTTGGCTGGAGGGAGAATACTATGTGGAAAGTTTCCTTTGTTTCCCCCTCTGATGTGGCTTATGTGCACTTTTGTGTGGGTACGTCTTCACTAGCAACATAAAAGTACTGCCGCAGCAGCGCTTTAACGTGGCTGTGTAGTCATGGCACCAGCACTGGGAGAGAGCTCTCCTAGCGCTATTAAAAAAACCACCTCCAAGAGGGAAGTAGCTAATAGCGCTGGGAGTGCAGCTCCCAGTGCTGGTGCACTGTCTACACTGCCACTTTACAGTGCTGAAACTTGCAGCGCCTAGGGAAGTGTGTTTTCACCCCCCTGAGCGAGAAAGTTGCAGCACTGTAAAGTGCCAGTGTAGACAAGCCCTGTGTGTTTTTAATGGCATCCAGAAGTGAGGGGTACTTAGACCCAGTCCTGCAAACAGTTAAGCACATGTGAAAATTTTTGTAAAGTTATGCATTTATTTAAAAATTTACAGAATCAGAGGTGTACTTTCTGACTCTTTGAGATCTCTTTGAGATACTGAAGATATTTGGAGCACTCTTCTTGTTAATCCTTTGCTACTGGGTCCACCCCTGACAATTAATGGCACAGTTACTGACAAAAAGTCAGCTATTTCTTCAGTGTCCGTTTTCAAATACATGTAGCTTCTTTAGAGTAAATTGCAAGATTTGGGATTATTTTTATTTTGAGATACTTCTTATTTTTTGCTGACTACTGCTTTACTTCCTGTTTGGAGGCATGGATTGATTGGCTTATGTGCGAGAGGCCATGATTCTGAAGCTTGGTAAAGGAGCGTGTGTGTGTGTGTGTGTGTGCGTGTGCTCTGATAGCCTGGGCATTCCTGTATAAGAACTGCTCAAGAGAGACTATCAGGACTGCCCTTGATTGACAGTCAAGGGACAGATGGGATTTGCCAGCGGGAGTCAGCTTCTATCATTTTGCAGCGGAGATGGAATGCTGACCTCAGCTATAACTAGGGCTCCCTATATTCAGTGGGACCTGATTCTGCGACAGCAATGCCTAAAGTTCCTCAGCAACCACTGCTGAATTACATGGCAATATCAATTTATTCTATTCCCTCTCCTCCAATACATGCAGCTGCATCTGATAGTTTAAAATACTAATTGACATATGTTATTTGATTATTTTAAAGGATGAGTTTTTCACTATGCTCTCCCTGAACGCTGCACAGTCCTTGGCTCCTGCGGTCTGCTGCAAAGAACCCAGATCGGAAACTCCTTCCATGTTTTTGTAAGAGAAGGGACCATCTTATGGCCTCCTTTAGCAGCTCATTTCCCTGGACCTTACTAGCTGCACTGTTCTCCACACTGCCCAGCTCATTAGTTTATGCTTCTGGTTCCCCCTCTCCCTGGCTGTAAGATAGATTTCAACTCTGTGTGACTACATGGAGTAGTGCTGATCACGTTCACTGTAATCCAACTGCCACTGCATAATGGAGAAATCTGGAGAGCAAGAGCCAGCTGCTGGCAGGTCCCAACCAGGAGGGAAGATGGAAAACAAAATGTTGGGGTTTCTGCAGCAAAAAAGACAAACTTGAAGCAAAAGTGCGTAATTCCGTAGCATATTTGGGCTTGTGTACACACAGAAACTGCACCAGTATAACTAAATCAGTTTCTAGTTCATTTTAATTGCAGACTCCTTATGTGGACACTCTTTAATCACTTGTATTAAAGTGCCTAGTATTGATTTATCTTAATTTTGTTGGTTAGTGGAAAACAGATAAAGAAAACATATGAGCATCCATCACTTTGTTGTTGTGCAGAGATCACATGTGACATACTATAGTTTTTTTTTCAAATAGAGCCTGAAATAATTAGCAGATGTTGTAGTTTGCAAGTATAAACTTCCATGCTATATTGTTGCTAAATGAATTGCTTCAACTTTAGTATTGTTTTTTTACTTATTGACATGCTGTGGAAAATATTTTAGTTGAGCTGCAGAGGATTTTTTTATTAATTGTGTTTTTGCCCTTTTTCGGCTATATTATGATATATAAAGAAGGCCAAAATAAGATGATGTATGATCTTCCTTGGATTTGCCAGAGGACCTTTTAGGAGTCTCCAACCATGTGTATTATGAACTCTTACACCTTAGCTGACAGGGTGGATGTGTCTGGATCTTTAATAAAACCATCCTCCTCTCCCCGCAACCTTCCATGTACGTTAAGAATTGTAATTATATTAGGTGTTACATTTCTTGTTTAGCAAATAGTCTCACTAAAGATCCCTTACCTCTTAGTTGTTCTGCTTTCAGGCCTTGTCTACATTGGGGAACTGTTAACCAACGGGGATCTTTTTTTTTTTTTTGTAAATTTCTCAACATAGATGTGACCTGGGTCTCCTCAGATGTCATATTTGACTACTCCTCCAGTCACTGTAGCTTTTAGCATAGACAAACTTTAATTTCTAAAGTGAAAAGAGAGCTGATTTTTAACAAAAAAGCCAGTCCCCCACGCATGTAAAGAAGCAGAGGAGAGCACAAGTCAACTTTTTTTACTTTGCAGATTGCCATTAAAATCAATTAAGGAAATAGATACGTATACAGTAGCACACTGTGGGTACTATGTTGCTCTGATAATATGGACAATTGCTTAATTGGCATGCACTGTTTCTTCTGTGGTATGCCATTTAAATGATTCTGCTGTGCGGTTTTATACAAATTCAACAGTACAGCTTAATGGCACACACCTCTTTGATTAGGTTTTGAATAATCCCCGTGCTCTTCTAAACATTTTATGTCAGTCTGTCTGGAGGAAATTAAAAGATAAAGGGATAGCTGGTCACCTACAAGCCACATAGGATATTAGCTATTCTTAGTCCAGCAAAACATCTGTTAAACAGCCTCTCTGTTTTCTCTAGCTGATACCTTGTGTGACATTCTGTACCTTGGAGGAGCACCTGTAAACCCCATGTTCTTCATTTAGATATATTTGTGATCTTGCGTATAAAGCATGCCATGTAAGGTATCAGTGGAAAGCTTATGATTTGCTGAAACCCACTGTTCTAAATATGGATATCATTAATGCATATGAAGTTATGAGAATGTGCTGTATGGTTGTCACTAAAATGTGCTGTGGGTTTGGGGAGTGCTCAGATACTAGCTTTCCAGAGATAATGACAAGGGAACAGGTAACCAAGGCCCTGGTGGATTGTGAACAGACATTATCACCCATTGACCAGCAGAGGAGTTACAATTCAACGACTCACTCACAGGAGACACACCAGGGTATTGCTTCACCTTGGGACTCAGCAATACCCACTAGACATGCCTGGACTTGTGTTCTCCAAGCACATGGACTAAGGGTATAAAACAGAACACAGGAGCCTACTGCGTGGCCTTTCTCATTCCCTCACCTATGCTGCAAGCAACCAGGACACTCAGAAGACTGAAGACTCCCATAGAGGGGACTGACCCAGGTTTCAAGGGTGTATTATGGAGTGCAATATTCAGTGGGGTGAGGAAAAACTGTTTCATCTAAATGTTGCCCAGTCTAATAGGGTTGAGAGTTTAGACTCTGTGCTTTTATTTTGGTAACTAACTCTAACTTTTCACTTACAATCTATCTTTTGTAGTCAATAAATTTGTTTAACTGTTTATTTTTACCAGTGAGTTTGCCTGAAGTGGTTGGTAAGGGTGGTTGCTCAGGTTTAGAAAGGCTGGTCTATATCCACTTTCCATCAATGAAGTAGTGAACCAATTAATACATTTGCACGGTTTGTCTTGAGCAGTGCAAGATGGTATATTCCTGAGGTACAAGGCTGGGAACTGTGGGGGATTTGGCTGGTGCCTTTCTCTGTGTGATTCATGAGTGGCTCTGGATACATTCATGCAATCTAGCTGGGTGTGGGGCTCCACATGCGGTTGTGCTGAGTGATAGCAGCACCTGGAGGGACTTGCTGCTTGTCACTAGCAAAGCATTGTGAGAGACCACCTAGGCTTGAGAGTTAAGGGGGCACAGCGGTCCCACAGTCCCAGGCTGCACCCCAGGGATCCAGTCACACCTTGCAAAATGATTATTTTCTTTTTCTGAGAAATAATTATTGTAGTAGTTGTGGAAGCTCATGACATTGCATCAGAATTGATGTGCTGCTACTCTTCCAGGGCTTGCAGTGTGTTCCTAAGGAGGAAATAATACATCTAAAATGTATACATCAAAAAGTCATGTGATTCTTTTTTGGTTTGTTTTAGTGACACCTTTTGATGTTGTCAAAATTCGACTGCAAGCCCAAAGCAATTCATTTGCTAATGGTAAATATACAGGTTTTGAAATAATTAAAGTAATCTGATATCTTTATAAATACTTTCCATCTTAATAATTTTCTCCAAATCTTTTTTAAGTGTACTTCTACTCTGAAAAATGATGATGTAAGGTTCTGTGTTTGTCTCAGTGGCTTTAGTTCGAATTTGCTTATTTTTTTAAAGAAAAGATTCCCATCCCTTCCTGCCCCAACTTTCAGCCCTGCAGACTCAACTAGGACCAGAAAGTCCAACTGTGTGTTCTTTCTGACTTGCATGTCATCTCTAGTAGTAATGTTTTTGAGGTCCAAATTCTGCCCTCAGGTACAACTCTGCAACTCCAGTATTGTTATTTGGGTTGTACAGATGTAACTGAAAGCAAAACTTGATCTTGCAGTTTGAACTAGGGTTAACAACCCTCCCAGTTTTGCCAGGAAGTCTCCTGGAATCAGGCTCTATCTCCTGGAGGTTACTGAAGCCAAACTGGGAGATTTTAGGCCTCTAAAAGTCTGGCGGCGCAGCAGGGCTAAGGCAAGCTCCTTACCTGCCCTGGCCCCACGCCACTCCCAGAAGTGGCTGGCACGTCACTGCGGGCCCTGAGGCGGCGGGGGGTCTCTGCATGCTGCTCCTGCCCCGAGTGCTGACTCTGCAGCTCCTATTGGCTGGGAACAGTGGTCAATGGGAGCTGCGGGGCAATGCCTGGAGGCAGGGGCAGCGCGCGGAGCCTCCTGCCCCCCTCTCCAGGGGCCACAGGGACGTGCTGGCTGCTTCCAGGAGCAACGCTGGCCCAGGGCAGCAAGAAGCCTGCCTTAGCTCTGCTGTGCTGCTGACCAGGAGCTACCCGAGGTAAGCGCCGCCTGGCCAGAGTCTGAACCACTCACCCTCTCCCGAACCCCAGCCCTGAACCCCTCTTGCACCCAAACTCCTTCCCAGAGCCAGCAGCCCTGCCACACCCCAATCCGCTGTCCCAGCCCTGAGCTCCCTCCCAGAGCCTTCACCCTGCCTCCCCCCGCCCCACCCCAACCCCCTGCTCCAGCCCTGAGCCTCCTCCAGCACCCAAACTCCCTCCCAGAACTTGCACCCCGTCCTGCACCCCAACATCGTGCCCCAGGCTCTGCCTGAAGCCCCCTCCCACACCTCAACCCCCTGCCCCAGCCTGGTGAAAGTGAGTGAGGGTAGGGGAGAGTGGGCGGGGCCTCAGGGGCGGGGCAAGGTTGTTTGAGTTTGTGTGGTTAGTGTGTGATTGGCAACCCTAGTTTGAATTTACTTGACAATTATGTTGATGCTGAGCCAGAGAAAATTCTAGTTCTCTCTTTTATAGCTGTGTTGACTCTATGATGTCAATAGGAGTAAAAAAAGTAGCAAAAACTTATTTTAGTCAATTGAGTGTCCAGGGAGGTTGAAGTGTTCTTACTTAATTTCAGACCTAAAAGTCGCAATACTTCAATTAAAAAGCTTCAAAAACAGACTCCAATGATTAACTGCAGAAGTGGAATTAATTTGCAAACTGGACACCATTAAATTAGGCTTGAATAAAGACTGGGAGTGGATTGATCATTACACAAAGTAAAAACTATTTCCCCATGCTAATTTTTCCCCTACTGTTATTCACACCTTCTTGTCAACTGTTTGAAATGGGCCATCCTGATTATCACTACAAAAGTATTTTTCTCCTGCTGATAATAGCCCACCTTAATTGATTAGTCTTGTTAGAGTTGGTATGGGAACCCCATTTTTTTCATGTTCTCTGTATAGATTATCTTCCCACTGTATTTTCCACTGCATGCATCTGATGAAGTGGGTTTTAGCCCATGAAAGCTTATGCCCAATTAAATTTGTTAGTCTCTAAGGTGTCACAAGTACTCCTCGTTCTTTTTGCTGATACAGACTAACATGGCTACCACTCTGAATTAGATATAACTCAGTACACCCAGGAAGATCTCTTATGTAAGAAGGTGCCGTTTTTACATAGTCACTCTTCTGACTGCATCAGTATTTTGACTATGAAGAGCACAGGAGCATTGCAAAACTATATACAGTCGAGTAAGGAGAAATAGACATCAATATATTTCAGTTAAATATTCCTACAAGAGATTTATTATTATAAAACCATGATTACTGAAATCCTAATTCAATAGTAAAGCCCATCTCCAGAGTTTGAGGAGAATTTTGAAAAGGAGCAATAATTCTGATTTGGTCACTTGTGTGAACAGAAAGCTAAAATGATATGTTGTGGTCTTACACTTCTGTCAAAGATGTACCAATTTATTCTTGCTATTTACTTATATATAATTAACAAAGGAGAGAGAGAGCAAGAAAAGAAATGAGATGGTGATCAAAATACGTAAGTCCCTGCTCTGCCACAGACTTCCTGTGTCACCTTGGGCAAAGTCATTTAAATTCCCTGTGCCTCAGTTTGCCCATTGGTAAAATGGGGATAATAGTACCTACCTCAGAGGGTAGATGGTATAAATGAAATCTGATTTAATTATATCCAAATCCTTTCCTGTTTTCTTGTTCCTTCAACAGCCACTAATGTAGCGCCAGCTCCATTAATTCTTAACTCTAGGTTTTGGAGTCTGGGTAAGCAATTTCATTTAGTCTAGCTGAGATGTGTTTGGTAGGTGTTTTTGCTGCTCTCCTCCCTTTCCCTTTTTAATACCAGCCTTTATTGGCTTTCCAAGTTTATTCTGCCCCAGTTGTCAGACCAGCATATTTGTTTCCTATATGATTGATTTAGAAATGCTATTGAATGGTAAAGATATTGCAGGAGTTAACTGTTTCCTTATATGTAACTTTTTATTAGGAAAATGTTTTGTATACTCCAATGGCCTTATGGATCATGTATATGTCTGTGAGGATCAGAACAGCAAACCCTGGTATAAGAAACCTGGCCATTTCAGAGGGATGTTGGTAAGGAAGTTATATTTATAATACTAAGTATATTGGGAATGTGTTAAAGATAAACACTGATATTCTACCAATTAAACCTCTTAAGGAGTTCATGTACTATCCAGTGTTGTTTGAGAGGGATTTCATATTGCAAGACAATATCACTAGGAGTGTACATACTTTGACAGTGCAGATTTTATAGAAGATTTATCAACATATTTAAATATAGCAAGTATCTCGTAAGATTTGTTTTTCTTTCTGACACACTACTTACTGTAAAAGAGTAAGGTTCAGATCCATGCAGATCAGATTGCAGGGTTGGTTTTTGCACTTTCGTTAATCAGCATGCAGGACCTAAGCTAAAACCTTAAATGTAGACACAAAACAGTACTTAGTAGCTCCCATATTATTCCTTTTCCTTTTTTTTTAAATTGGAACTTCAACTCTAGGAAGAATGGATGAATGCTGAGCTTATTATTTTTGTGTGTCCAGTTTTGTGCTGATTTCCAAGCATAATGGCTCCTGCAGGGCCTTGCCTTATCCAGTCAATGCACATCTGACAAGATCTTCTGGGTAGCTAATGGTATACTGCGCATATGTGCATATGCAGAATACCATTCCTTCACTTTAAATTATGGTAAAAAGTTCTAAAAATCATAAGTGTCTGCACCAAAACTAGAACCAGGTCTGTTGGTTCCACCCACAATTCCTAAACCACTATTCTGAGTTCCATTTTATTTTAGTTACTTTTATCTGTTTATAAAACATACAATTATTAATAGTTATCCAAAGTGTTTGAGAAGCGATCTGTCTTTTTTTTCTCTCTCACACACATTCACCTAGAACAATCATAGACTAATTAAGACAAAGGAGAGATGGAAAGGGAAGCCACAACTTCTTCCTGCCAAGATACTGACCCACTGATCTTCCCTCCCCAGTCTGAAATACATGCATAATAATAATTATCTGTACTTATTGTACTATTCTATCTGCAGATCTTTCAGAATTTTACTGAGTTATATATGCATTATTAGCCCAATTTAAAGGTTGTCCTAGTTAAGTACAGGGGTGAAATCCTGGCTCGATTGAAGTCAATGGGACCAGGATTTCACCAGGTGATTTGAAGCAATTTTGTAGAAGAGACACTAGAATCTAGAAAATAAAGCACAGGACTCCACTTCAGCCACCAGATTTCTTTTCTTAACTCTTTTGTGTAAACTTACTACATAATAGAGGTATTCAAGAATTTTCTAAATTTCAGTGAGCTTTTTTGCAATTTTTAAAAATTATTCATGAAAAGTATTGGGGGATTTTTTTACGAGCTTTTCATGTGATTGAAGTTTTTTGAAAATTTCAATGAATGTTCACAAAATAGATTTTTTTTCCACAAATATTTGTCTGCATTTTTCAGTCAACTCCACTGTATAATCTTTAGTAAGTCACTTAAATTCCGTTTGTTTGGTAAATGATCTTATGCACATTTCTCCATTGGCATTTTGGTGGGGAATACAAGAGGAGGATTAATTTTACCAGATTCTGGAGTTTTCTTTTACTTTTGGAAAGTAGTTATGGACAATTGAGGCTAATTAAACGGTCCTTTATTACCATATAATTGGGTGTCTAATTTTCAAGAAATTGCAGTTTTTAAAAAAATATTTTAATATTTTTGCCTTTGAAAGCCTCTTGCATGAACTAACATCAAATTCTGTTAACATAGCATGTAACTAATAAGATGCATGTTTTCCCTGCTCAGTCATTACTTTTTGTTGCATCCCTTCTCGCGTCCTTCCTCTGTACTGTTTTAGACTGCAAATTCTTTGGAGCAAGTTTGTAAAGTGTCCAGCACACTTTGGGCCCTGTGTAAACATTAACTATCTTGCTGGAATCACATCACAACAAAAAGTATATTAATTAGGGGAACAAACGTTTGGCTAGATCCTCAGCTAGGGTAAATCAGCTAATGAAATTGTGCCAATTTTCCTCCCTTGAGGAAGTGGTTCTTTATATTTAATGGTATAACAAACAAAGGGCATATATTCAAATGCAGTACAGGTAGGTAGTGACAGAAAATCATCATCCTATAATGATTGGTGACCAATCTGAAAGTAGATAGTAGTCCACATAGTTTCTATCGATGGTGTCTACATCACCATAAAACCCCATCCTAATTGGCCAAGCATAATATTCATTTTTGCTGTTAGAGGTCAAGTACTAACTAAGCATGGAGAGTGAATTATCTTCTTATACTTGGAGGTAGTTCTTTCAGGTGACAGTAGAGGTGTGTGGGTGGGATAGTTTGGGGAAGCTTTCACAGTTGCTGCCTGTGCTGTACCTGTTTTGAAAGTAATTTGTTCCCAGTCATATCCATCAAGCTTCTTTGATGGCTACTGATGTTATAAACTAAGGTCCTGATCCTGCAAATATTTATGTACAATGCTTAACTTTATACATGTGAATATTCTGATTGATACCAATGGAGGAACTAGTACTTAAAGTTAATTATGTGTGTAAGTATTTACAGGATTGGGGTGTTAGTGTGACAAACCATTTTTAGTGTACTACTTTCTCCTGCAGTGTATTTTTAATTCCATCTCCTGCCCACCAACATAATTGTTACATGAATTGGAGAGTTAAATAACTAACTAATGATCTGCATTTGGTTATTATTTTAGGATGCGTTTGTGAAAATTATTAAAATAGAGGGTATTAAATCACTATGGAGTGGACTTCCTCCAACGCTGTAAGTTACAATTTCATATATTCCATAACATGTTTTAAAGGGTGGTTATACTTCATTATTTTGACCAGTGAGTATGCTTATTCCTAAGTGTTTAATTTTAGACAATTTACAAGTTTCCCAAGTTAACTTATCAGTTACATCTGGAAACCTTCAGAGGCAAGACTATAACTTCAGCCAGACAATGAGATTTCTCCATCCAGCCTCTTTGATGCATCCTCAGTAGCTGTGCAGAGACATCAAACCTTTGACTACCAGTCTTATGCTAATACCTTTCATACTTCCAAGTGCAATATCATTGTTCCCTCTTTGTCAGATGGTTTTTTGAGAGCATCATATCATCCTGGCAAGAACAGGAATTAAGGCTCAGATCCATAAAGGTATTTAAAGTTCCTAACTTCCATTGAAATCAGTGGAATTTAAGGGCTCAAATATCTTTTGGGATCTGGGCTCAAGAGCTCTATCTGCAGAGTACCAATACTGCATTTTTCATGGCTATCAAGGCAAACCTATCATTATTCCTTAAAGCAAACTCCATAACCCATAAATCACAGAACATAGTGCTACAATCTTCTTGACCCAAGCAAAAGCACTAAGTATGCCTTCAGTGCCCATCCAGCACTATAACTATATAAAGACAAAAGTGAAGCTCTGATGAGATAAAGCTTGTTACTTGTGGTCTAGCACCTGGCTATTTCAAGGCTTTCAGGTCATAAGTATCTGAGCCCTGGTCTACACTAGGACTTTAGGTCGAATTTAGCAGCGTTAAATCGATGTAAACCTGCACCTGTCCACACGATGAAGCCCTTTATTTCGACTTAAAGGGCTCTTAAAATCGATTTCCTTACTCCACCCCTGATAAGTGGATTAGCGCTTAAATCGGCCTTGCCAGGTCGAATTTGGGGTACTGTGGACACAATTCGACGGTATTGGCCTCCGTGAGCTATCCCAGAGTGCTCCATTGTGACTGCTCTGGACAGCACTCTCAACTCAGATGCACGATTGTTTGCCGTTGCTCTGACGCAGGGAGGGGCGACTGACGACACGGCTTACAGGGTTGGCTTACAGGGAGCTAAAATCAACAAAGGGGATGGCTTTACATCAAGGAGTATTTCAGGCAGGACTTCACGGAGGGTTCCAATAAGAAATGGTGCACCTAAGTTATTGTCCTTATTGGAACAAGGAGGTTAGTCTGGCCTCTGATTGATACATGGCTAGATTTACCTCGCTGCACCTTCTCTGTGAGTGACTGCAGTGTGACCTAGAGGAATGAGTCCCCTAGATGGGGGGCGAGGTGGGGGGGGTTGCAAATAAATACAAAACAAATCTGGTCTATTTCTTGTTTTGATACACTCCATCTATCTTTTACATCTTTGGCTGGCAGCAGACAGTGCAGAAGGACTGCATGCCATCCACATCTCATGGCTGCTCAGCAGAAGATGGTACAATAGGACTGCTAGCCATCCTCATCTCTTGCCTGCCCGGCAGAAGATGGTGCAATAGGACTGCTAGCAATCCGTATCACCTGCCTGCTCACCATAAGATGGTTCAATAGGACTGATTGTAGGACTAAAGAGAATGACTTGATCAAGTCACTCCAAATTTAGTCCCTGCGCCCATGTCTGCCCAGGCGCTCCTGATCGTCCTCACACAGGCGACCAGGAGCACCTCGGACATGACGATGACGGCTACCAGTCCTATTGCACCGTCTGCTGCCACAAGGCAATGGGTTGCTGCTGCTGTGTAGCAATGCAGTACCACATCTGCCAGCACCCAGGAGACATACGGTGACAGTGAGCTGAGCGGGCTCCATACTTGCCGTGGTATGGCGTCTGCACAGGTAAATCAGGAAAAAAGGCGCGAAACGATTGTCTGCCCTTGCTTTCACAGAGGGAGGGAGGGAATGGGGGCCTGACAGTATGTACCCAGAACCACCCGCGACAATGTTTTAGCCCCATCAGGCATTGGGATCTCAACCCAGAATTCCAATGGGCAGCGGAGACTGCGGGAACTGTGGGATAGCTACCCACAGTGCAACGCTCCAGAAGTCGACTCTAGCCTCAGTACTGTGGAAGCGCTCCGCCGAGTTAATGCACTTAATGCACTTAGAGCATTTTCTGTGGGGACACACACACTCGAATATATAAAACCGATTTCTAAAAAACCGGCTTCTATAAATTCGACCTAATTTCGTAGTGTAGACATACCCTAAGTGGATCAGGTAGTATATACCTGAGCCAGGCAAGACAAAAAGTTATTCTTCAGCACTCAGGCTACACTTCCTAGGAATAGAAATGGCCTCTTGGGTGGAGGCATACATTGCTTAGGAAGGAATCTGCACTGTTGCCTAATTGTTCTCCATGCATTTCTTCAGTAAATATATCAAAGCTGATTTGTAAGCCTCATCCAGTGTTGTTTTAGGGACAATGGTGTTGCATGATATAGTAACTCAGGAAAAAGACTCTATGCGTATTTATTTCAAATTCTGTTTTATGTTAGGCTAAGTTGTTTTACCTACTTACACACTGATGATAAAATCCAACTGTAGGATCTGTGGTCCTTATTATGCTAAAGAATAGGAAAATTTAGATGCGCTTACCCCAACATTTTCATTCTTCAAGAAGTAAGATCCACAAATGTGACCCATGCTGGATAAGATAAAAGAATCACTGTCCAGTAGCTAAGTGAGTGACAAATCTCAGTTTAGTAAATAGAGCCCAGATCCACAAAGGGACTTAGTCATTGTGACACTGAGAGTTGTGGCACGTAAAAGTTAGAAAATCTGAGCAACACTGTGATCCCACAAAGTCTGAATTAGGCACCTTGGCTCCCTGTACAATGAATGGGGACAGATAGTGATCCATAAAGCTAGCTTGATAGGCAGGGGAGTTGCCTAAGCTAGCCAATGGGAGATGCAAAGGAGAGGGGCATGTGCTTATCCCCAAACCTGTCATGGAGATAGTGCTTAAGTCCAGGCATAAATAAACCTGCCTATATAGCATGATCTTGCCCCCTTCCATACCGTCCAGCAGAGGGGATCTTACGGTATATCTACACTGTAGTAAAATACCCACAGCTGGCCTGTGTTAGGTGGCTTGGGCTAAGGTCTATAAAATTGCAGTGTAGACCAGTGCTACTCAAAGTGGTGGTCCGCGGACCGGTCAGGTGCACACACATTGGAAAAAAAAAACATTGCTGGTCCCCCACATCAGATAGCTTGAGAAGCACTGGTGTAGATGATCTGGTTTGGGAGCCCGAGCCCAACTCCGAACGTCTACACTGCTGTCTTATAGCCCTGAAGCCCAAGCCATGTGAGCCTGAGCCAACTGACACCAGCCAGCTGTGGGTGTTTTATTGCAATGTAGATATACCTTTAGAGTCCCAGTGCATGGATTTAGAATTTTCTTCTGAATTTCAAATGTCCTTGTTGCAGCAGATAGTGCTTACCTTTAACCTAGGCAGTAGTATATTTACTATTTGGGAGGAAAAACTAATTGGGGTTATGTTTTTCACCCTAACATGCATGAACATAAGATTCGGTTTGGTAAGAAATTGATTATTAGATAAATGTTGTTTGTCATAATCATTAAAGGCCAGATTGTGCCACCCTTGTCCGTATTGAGTAGTACCTTTACAGCATGAATAAGGGTGGCCCAAACTATCAGACTTGAAAGAAATTGTATGCATTGATAAGACCTCTGAGTAACCTATCAAGGCAGATTATGAAAATAATTGAGTTCAAGAAGAACCCAGTATGCATGTATGTTTACCACACAGTTGGTTAATGGAGATTTGGTAGACATTTGTGAATTGCAAGAGATGGACATGATGAGTTTTTTCCTTCATCCATAACACAGTTGAAATGCTTATCCTTTTTTATTTACTCTCTTCCCCCCCCCCCCAAAAAAAAATCTATACTTGATAACTGATCTAAATTATGTTGGAGGCATCTGGTTTTCTTTGTGACAATTGATAGACTTCCTTTGTTTTTGTATTTTAGAATAATGGCAGTTCCAAGTACAGTAATTTATTTTACCAGCTACGATCAACTGAGTGAAGTTTTGATATCTAAACTAGGAAAAGACAATGACCACATTCCAGTTCTTGCAGGCTCCATAAGCAGATGTGAGTCATAAATTATCTGCATGTTATGGCATTTTCTTTAGTATTCCTTTTCCAGCTATTTTATATATTAAGCCAAATTTGCTATCATTCCAAACTCAATAGTCCTTCTCCCCTTGTGTCAGAATGTTTCACCATCACCTACTTAAGTGGACCAGAAGGGAACCAAGGCTCTCCATCTCTTCTGGGTTCCAGTCTAGGGACCCTGTTGTGAGCAGCTAAGGTCTGCTGCTTCAGGCTTCTTGTTACTTTTGTGGATTTCTGTTAGGCTTTTTCCCACAGTGCCTCCCTGGGCTGACTGTAGCTCTACCTCTTTCTAGGCCTTTCATCCATTTTAGTAACCAGAGAGGGACTACAGTCTTTTCGTGGCCACCCTCTTCTTAGCTGGGCTTTCTCCCTTTCTGCACACCACCCAACTCCTTCCCCAGCTGGGTTTCACCTTTAGTTGGACCTGGCCCACCCTCCAGGTGCAACCAGATTTACTAATTACTCTCTGTCTCTAGTTAACTGTTTCATTACCTGGCTATGGTGCTACCCCATCATATGCTGCTAAAGACAAATTAATTTCATTCTCATTCGTTGTCTAATAAACAATAAATAACACTGATCACACTCTACTTTAAAGATTACTAGCAAAGGAAAAATAATTTGAACTTATGCACCTTTTTGCTTCTTTATGATATATAAAGAGCTAGATTTTTTTTAAACTTTTTTTCTGCATATTTCTACACAAGAAATGCTCTCTCTTTGTTTTCCTAGGAGTCCTTAGGGACACTGGAGAACTGGTGGGATTGGGCTGTGACAGATATAGAACATGGTAGCTGATTGAGAGGGTACTGAATTTTTATTAAAATTGTTTAAAGATCTTTGATTGTCAAACAAACATCCTGTAAACAATTGGGAGACAACATATTGGACTTGATCGTCGCAGTAGTTGGAGTCAGTGAGTTAACCTCTCCCTATATTTACTAGCAGAGTTCCTCAAGGTCAGTCTTGGGACCGATCTTCTAAAATATTTTTATTAATGACTTTGGCACAAAGAGTACTAGTGTACTAATGAAATTTGCTGATGATACAAAATTGGGAGGAGATACAGAGGAGAATCGAAATAGAGGAACGTTTGGATGACCATGAAGACTGGAGTGACAGAAAAGAAATGAAATTCAATAATACACAGTGCTAGGTCATGCACTTAAGGGCTAATAATAAGAATTTCTGCTACCGCTGGGTGCTCATTAGTTGGAAGTGACAAAACAGGAGGGAGACCTGGGTGTGTGGGTTTGATCACAAGATGACTGTAAGCCACCAATGTGATGTGGCTATGAAAAAGGCAAATACAATCCTAGGATATGTTAGGCAAGGCATTTCCAGTAGATGTAGAGAAGTATTAATGCCATTGTAAAGGGCACTGATAAGACCTCATTTGGAATACTGTGTACAGTTCTGGTCACCCATGTTCAAGAAAGATGAATTTAAACTGGAACAGGTGCAGAGAAGAGCTACTAGGATAATCAGGGGAATGGAGGGCTTATATTATGAGAGGATACTGGATGAGCTTTCCAGACTATTGTACCCCTTTCAGGAATCTGAATTGTCTCGCGGATCCCCAAGTTACACCTCACTTAAAATCTGCTTGCTTACAAAATCAGACATAAAAATGTCACAGCACACTATTACTGAAAAATTGCTTAGTTTCTCATTTTTACCATATGATTATAAAATAAATCAATTGGAATATAAATATTGTACTAATATTTCAGTATAAAGTATATAGAGCAGTATAAACAAGTCATTATCTGAATGAAATGTTAGTTATATTGACTTCTCTAGAGCTTTTTATGTACCCTGTTGTAAAACTAGGTAAATATCTAGATGAGTTGATGTACTTCCTGGAAAACCTCTGCGTACCCCTAGAGGTACGCATTCCCTGGTTGAGAGTCACTGTAATAGAGGGTATTATTGCTGTCTATAAATTCATTAGGGAGGTAAAGATCAGGAAGAGTGAAGAATTATTTAAGCTAAAGGACAATGTTTACACAAGAACAAATGGTATAAACTGGCCAGGAACAAATTCAGTCTGGAAATTAGAAGAAGGTTTGTAACCATGACAGTAGGGTAAGGTTTTGAAACCGCTTCCCAATAAGATTTGTGGGAATGAACAACTCAATTAGTTTTAAGAGAGAGCTGGTCCAATTTATGACTGTAATTCTATGATGGGGTTGCTTGTGGTGATAGGGAGGAGGGCTCAACAGCCCTGGGGCTCGCTTCCGGATTATGTGTCTTATGTTCTTAAAAGATCATGCTTCAAGGTTTCAGCCAGGAATCTGAAGGGGTCAGGAAGGGATTTCTTTAGTCCATGGTTCACCCATGTAGTCTGGGAGGGTTTCTTTTGTTTTTTAATTTCTTTCCTCTGAAGCATCTGGGATGGCTATGTCTGGACATTGGATAGGGACAGCGAGTGCTGTGAGGTGGTAATGAGCATTCTGTCTCTCAGGTGCCTGGCTGGCTAGTTCTTGCTCACGTGCTCAGGGTAACTGATCACAATGTGTGGGGTTAGAAAGGAATTTCTCCCATGTCAGATTGGCAGTGACCTTGGAATGTTTTTGTTTGTTTTTTCCTTTGCAGCATGTCAGTGTGGATCACATGCCAGGATTGTTTGGGTGTATCTCATTTAATAATTTCCCTGTCCCTGCGGGGGCCTCAGGCATCGGTGCATCTTGGTCCTTACTGTTCTCTGCCTGTGGCACATAAGCTAGTTTCCTGTGGGCTGTAATATTTTGGTCTAATTTCAGTGGTTGGGTTTAGTGTGCAGATGTTAGATTGTTGGTGGCCTGTGATGTACAAGAGGTCAGACTAGATGATCTGGTGGTCCCTTCTAGCCTTAAGTCTGTGAAATATCCTTATCAGCTTGGATGATAGTGAAATGGCTTGTTTGTTAATGAGTCCCCACTCTGTGCTCTTTCAGTTAAGGGGTGAAAGAACTCTGTGTACATATCTGAGATCCGAGTCTTCCAACAAATGGAACGCCAGACTTGATATTCCTTATATTTCTAAAGTCAACAAAACAAATAGAAAAGGTATTTAAAATTAAGCTGTCTTTTATACACCACAAAGAAGCAAAAAGGGGGGAAAAAGGCAGGCCCGTTTTCCCTATTGCAAGTCACCTTTAAGTAAGATTTAAGATTAATGAAAGAACTGACATTTTAAAAATCAGGTTTATTTATAGAAATACATTTAAACCCATTTGGACCTTGAATTAGGCCTTTGGATCAAGTGTATGATCAAGTTATTCTTACCAGGAAGGAAGGTTGTACAACAGAAATTATTTAGGCCTGGTCCACACGTAAAACTTGTGCCAGCATATCTATGTCAATCGAATGTGATTCCCCCCACCCCCCCAACATACTTTTGTTCGGGGAACTGGTATAAGTTATACTGGCAAAAGAATTATTCTGTTGGTATAAGCTATTCTTTACTAGGACTGTGTGCTATTATTAAATATATCAGTAAACCTTTTCTAGCATAGACAAGGTGTTAGGCAACAATTGTGGGAGAGTTAGGGCTTGTCTTTGTGAAGACTTAGGCCATGTCTACAGTTCAATCTTTGGTTGACACAAGTTACAAAGGCATGCAATCACCAAAATTAGTATATCCTTCATGCTCCTGCATACTTGGTTTCTTGCAGTGCTACACGTACTGACCAGGGGTGGTCGTGTTTATGCAAAGTGCAGTGCACCACAGGTAGTTATCCCAGCCTGCCATACGCCACCATCTGGCTCAGTGCCTTTTGGAAAATTTTAGCAATGTATTATGGGGAAGAAATGAGTGGTAGAGACCTCTGGGAGCTAAGGATCAAGTTCCCATCGAGCAACTTGGTCTATCCATATCCCATATTTTTGTGTGTGCATTTTTTAAAAACCTGCCAACCTGTGTGGCACTTTTCAGCAGGGTGAATACAAATGAATGATTCTTTTTGAAAGTATCAAAAAAATTGAATTTTTTTATTTAAATCGAGATTTTTTTCCTTTTGTTGTTTAAATTGTTTCTTTTTAAAAATAAACTTGTTTAAAATGAAATCTGAATTGTTAAGGCCTAAATTTATTATTATCTCTTAAAACATTTGCATAAAAAATAAATATGCGGAATCCATGAGCCTCTATCAAAATCTTTGTGTTAAAGGCTGCTTTTCTATATAAAGAAAGAATCAGGGGGAAAATATTTAACTTTGAGGTCAGGCCAGGGGTGAAAGTAACACAGAAGACTTACCGGTATGGGAGCCTGGCTTTGGGCCCCAGAAGATGCAGGACCTCGGGCAGAAGGTGCAGGGTCTTGGGTAGAAAGGGAGCAGGGCTGAGGGGGTCAGCCTCCCCCAGCCAGCCCATCCGTGCTGCCTGGCTCACACTGCCTTAGGCTCCGGTGGCGATTTAAAAGGGCCCGGGGCTCTGGCCGCTGCTGTGGCGGGGGGAAAGGGGCAGCGATGTATGGGCTGGTAGTGGCGGCCACTTCTTACCAGGTCAAGCTTTATAAATATGGCACAATAAGTCAGCCTAAGTCATTTAGGAGAGTGTCTCATTTTTTAAGAGACTTATGTGAGCAAAAACTTATCCTCCAGGCACTTTTACTTAGGAGTATTTGAAAAATTTCCTAGGATGACCTGAAATAATCAGTTTAATTCTCCGCTGAAAGTTAATCCTCCTGATTAATATAAACTAAATATTTCTCCTTGTCATACAGTTAAAACATGAATATATAGTACTAGGGTAAATGAAACAACAAATTCACACTACTGTGGTTCTTTTGGGTAATGTTGATTGCTAATTTGGCTCCTGAACCACTGAGATCTATGTATCACTGTGCTAGCCTATTTACTGCAGTGGTGCCTGCTGAAGTAATCACAGAGTAGTGTGGGGAAGTGTTCTACTGCTGTCATAAATATAAAGGGAAGGGTAAACACCTTTAAAATCCCTCCTGGACAGAGGAAAAAACCTTTCACCTGTAAAGGGTTAATAAGCTAGGATAACCTCGCTGGCACCTGACAAAATGACCAATGAGGAGACAAGATACTTTCAAAAGCTGGAGGGAGGGAGAAACAAAGGCTCTCTCTGTCTGTGTGATGCTTTTGCTGGGGACAGAACAGGAATGGAGTCTTAGACCTTAATAAGTAATCTAGCTAGATATGTGTTAGATTCTGTTTTCTTTAAATGGCTGAGAAAATAAACTGTGCTGAATGGAATGTATATTCCTGTTTTTGTGTCTTTTTGTAACTTAAGGTTTTGCCTAGAGGGGGTTCTCTATGTTTTGAATATAATTACCCTGTAAGGTATTTACCATCCTGATTTTACAGAGGTGATTCTTTTACTTTTTCTTCAATTAAAATTCTTCTTTTAAGAACCTGATTGCTTTTTTATTGTTCTTAAGATCCAAGGGTTTACATCTATGCAAATTGGTGAGGATTTTTATCAAACCTTCCCCAGGAAAGGGGGTATAGGTTTTGGGAGGATTTTGGGGGGAAAGACGTTTCCAAGCAGCTCTTTCCTGGTTATATATCTGTTAGATGTTTGGTGGTGGCAGCAATAAAGTCCAAGGGCAAAAGGTAAAATAGTTGTACCTTGGGGAAGTTTTAACCTAAGCTGGTAAAAATAAGCTTAGGGGGTTTTCATGCAGGTTCCCACATCTGTACCCTAGAGTTCAGAGTGGGGAAGGAACCTTGACAGCAGCAGAGGAAGAAAAAAGGTTGCCATCCCTAGAGACCTTCTGGAGAGGATTGCAGAGTAACTCTATTAAAATTTCATTAAGATCTCTTAGGAGGATACAAGGGGCATCCTTATGTGTATAAAAAAAAAGATGTGCTTGCCCTCCCCCATCTAACTCAACAGGGGAATGAAAAGCAGATGCCAGCTCTACCTCTGTTTGTTATACCACTACCTTTTCTCATAGGAGTAAAATAATGAAAAGTCGATACCTGTGTCTTGTTAACTTGGGGCTGAGCTGGGCACCATCTTTACATTTAAACACTGTAAGAAAAAATGCATGCACACACTTACCCAAGGTTCCTTCCCCTTCATCAGACTCATCCATACTCGGCTGGTGGGACTGGCTAGACTATGGTCGAGTCTCGAACAGGTCCTGGCATGGCTAGACACACCTCTCCCCATGATTTCCCACTCCTCCTCCTTTTTCTCCTCCTTCTCACTGTTCATGTAGGGCGCTCTGGCTCCAGCAGGGTATCTACGGTAGTCTACAAGGTACTAGTGCAGTCTCTGCCACTCATGGTATGCAGCTCATTGTAAAAGAGACCGGTCTGCAGCTCCACACCAGATTGATGGTTGGCCTCCCTGGCCTTGTGGTACTTCTACAGCAGTTCTTTCTCTTTCATGTGTCATTGCTGCTGATCCCTCTCATACCCCTTTGCTTGCAACCGCTGTGCAATCTTTCAGAGATGTCCACACTTCTATGGCTGGTCTGTAGCTGTGCTTGCACAGCCTCTTCTCCCCACAGGCCCAGGGGGCCCAGTACCTGCTGTCTACTCCCAGCAAAAGCGTGTCTAGTGTGTAGAGCTGTTACGGTTGGTTGGGCACACAACGAGGGAGAGCTGCTAGGTGTGCTTGTGAATTTGGGCAATCAGGAAAAGGCATTTCAAAAATATGGGGGTGTTTTAAAGGATGGTGGTGGCTTGTGGTTTCCATGGCAGTGCAATTCATAATTGTGACCAGAGTGGTCACTGTTGGGCATTGCAGGCCAACTGCTGGAGAACTGTTAGGGTCGACATAGGTCACATAGTGTCTACACTCTCACTGTGTTGATCTCAGTAGGTCTACCATCACTCAAGGCAGTTCTGGGACATGGTTTTACTAAGTCACTGTAACAGGGCTCATACATTGGCCAGAGATACATGCGCTAACAGGACAACCAAAAGCAACTTACGTCAACCTAAGTTTGTAGTGTAGACCAGGTACTAGCATGCAGCAAGCCATGGTTGAATGTACAGCTCACTAGTTAGTCACACGCTAACTGGCTATGGGGACTCTGCTACCATGCACTAAAAGTTTTATAGTGTGCATTCTGGAACTTTTAGTATGTGGTAGCATTGTCCACATAGCCAGCTGGTGTGCGGCAAACTAGTACAGTTTGTCACACACTGGGGGTATTTCTACACCCTAGTGACACAGCTATGGTGCTTTAGAGGACGCGTGTTGTCGTATCGCAAAAGAAAAGGAGTACTTGTGGCACCTTAGAGACTAACCAATTTATTTGAGCATGACTTTCGTGAGCCACAGCTCACTTCATCAGATGTACCGTGGAAACGCAGCAGACTTTATATACACACAGAGAATATGAAACAATACCTCCTCCCACCCCACTGTCCTGCTGGTAATAGCTTATCTAAAGTGATCAGCAGGTGGCCATTTCCAACACAAATCCAGGTTTTCTCACCCTCCACCCCCCACACAAATTCACTCTCCTGCTGGTGCTAGCCCATCCAAAGTGACAACTCTTTACATAATCAAGTCGGCTATTTCCTGCATAGATCCAGGTTCTCTCACTTCCCCCCCACCCCCATACACACACAAACTCACTCTCCTGCTGGTCTAAACTGACCACTCTCCAAGTTTAAATCCAAGTTAAACCAGAATATCTGGGGGGGGGGGTAGGAAAAAACAAGAGGAAACAGGCTACCTTGCATAATGACTTAGCCACTCCCAGTCTCTATTTAAGCCTAAATTAATAGTATCCAATTTGCAAATGAATTCCAATTCAGCAGTTTCTCGCTGGAGTCTGGATTTGAAGTTTTTTTGTTTTAAGATAGCGACCTTCATGTCTGTGATTGCGTGACCAGAGAGATTGAAGTGTTCTCCGACTGGTTTATGAATGTTATAATTCTTGACATCTGATTTGTGTCCATTTATTCTTTTACGTAGAGACTGTCCAGTTTGACCAATGTACATGGCAGAGGGGCATTGCTGGCACATGATGGCATATATCACATTGGTGGATGTGCAGGTGAACGAGCCTCTGATAGTGTGGCTGATGTTATTAGGCCCTGTGATGGTGTCCCCTGAATAGATATGTGGGCACAATTGGCAACGGGCTTTGTTGCAAGGATAAGGTCCTGGGTTAGTGGTTCTGTTGTGTGGTATGTGGTTGTTGGTGAGTATTTGCTTCAGGTTGCGGGGCTGTCTGTAGGCAAGGACTGGCCTGTCTCCCAAGACTTGTGAGAGTGTTGGGTCATCCTTTAGGATAGGTTGTAGATCCTTAATAATGCGTTGGAGGGGTTTTAGTTGGGGGCTGAAGGTGACCGCTAGTGGCGTTCTGTTATTTTCTTTGTTAGGCCTGTCCTGTAGTAGGTAACTTCTGGGAACTCTTCTGGCTCTATCAATCTGTTTCTTTACTTCTGCAGGTGGGTATTGTAGTTGTAAGAAAGCTTGACAGAGATCTTGTAGGTGTTTGTCTCTGTCTGAGGGGTTGGAGCAAATGCGGTTGTATCGCAGAGCTTGGCTGTAGACGATGGATCGTGTGGTGTGGTCAGGGTGAAAGCTGGAGGCATGCAGGTAGGAATAGCGGTCAGTAGGTTTCCGGTATAGGGTGGTGTTTATGTGGCCATTGTTTATTAGCACTGTAGTGTCCAGGAAGTGGATCTCTTGTGTGGACTGGACCAGGCTGAGGTTGGTGGTGGGATGGAAATTGTTGAAATCATGGTGGAATTCCTCAAGGGCTTCTTTTCCATGGGTCCAGATGATGAAGATGTCATCAATATAGCGCAAGTAGAGTAGGGGCTTTAGGGGATGAGAGCTGAGGAAGCGTTGTTCTAAATCAGCCATAAAAATGTTGGCATACTGTGGGGCCATGCGGGTACCCATAGCAGTGCCGCTGATCTGAAGGTATACATTGTCCCCAAATGTGAAATAGTTATGGGTAAGGACAAAGTCACAAAGTTCAGCCACCAGGTTAGCCGTGACATTATCGGGGGATAGTGTTCCTGACGGCCTGTAGTCCATCTTTGTGTGGAATGTTGGTGTAGAGGGCTTCTACATCCATAGTAGCCAGGATGGTGTTATCAGGAAGATCACGATGGATTGAAGTTTCCTCAGGAAGTCAGTGGTGTCTCGAAGGTAGCTGGGAGTGCTGGTAGCGTAGGGCCTGAGGAGGGAGTCTACATAGCCAGACAATCCTGCTGTCAGGGTGCCAATGCCTGAGATGATGGGGCGCCCAGGATTTCCAGGTTTATGGATCTTGGGTAGTAGATAGAATATCCCAGGTCGGGGTTCCAGGGGTGTGTCTGTGCGGATTTGATCTTGTGCTTTTTCAGGAAGTTTCTTGAGCAAATGCTGTAGTTGCTTTTGGTAACTCTCAGTGGGATCATAGGGTAATGGCTTGTAGAAACTCGTGTTGGAGAGCTGCCGAGCAGCCTCTTGTTCATATTCCGACCTATTCATGATGACAACAGCACCTCCTTTGTCAGCCTTTTGATTAGATGTCAGAGCAACTTTGCTGCTGTAGCGCTGTAGTGTTAATGCTTCCTAGATTGATGGAAGGTGTTTTTCTGACTTTACAGATAATCCACCTCTCTAAGAGATGGTGATAGAAGTTGATAGAAGAATTCCTCCATCGGCAGAGCTGCTATGTCTACACTGGATTTGGGTGGACCTAACTATATTGTACAGAGCACAAAATTTTTCACAGCCCTGAGCAATACAGTTAGGTCAACCTAAGTTTTATGTGTAGACCAGGCCTAGGTCTCTATGAAGACATAGCCTCTGATCTTTTGGCTGAAAGGAGCGAAAAATATAGGGTGGGAGAAAAGTTGGATTATTTTTAGTGTTTGGGAAATTGCTCTATTAACATAATTGACTGTTTTTAAGTCTTACTAATGAACCCTAATCTTTTCTCATTTTCAGTGGGTTCATTAACTGTAATAAGTCCACTGGAGTTGATCAGAACTAAAATGCAGTCTCGCCAATTATCTTACAAGCAACTGCGTATATACATTAATAATACAGTGGCCAAAGATGGTTGGCGTTCGCTCTGGAGGGGGTGGAGCCCCACTGTTCTGAGAGATGTACCTTTCTCAGGTAAGGGTTTATCTTGCATCAAAGTTTGCGTTATGGAGAATACTTGCTTGTCAATTCCTTTACATTTTTTCCTTATACTTTGATAACATTATAGCATGTGGCTCTAAGTAAGGTTGAGAGTGCTTTACTATTCTAAGTGCTTTAAAATCCATGTGCTTAATTGGACTGTCTTGAAATTTGCTGTGTCTCATGGGGATGTGGGGTAAGATTAAAGGTTCAAATTTGGGGTAACTTGAGCAAGGAGTTTCCCAGATATAGTCCTCCTAAAAAAAAATGTTTACAGTATAACCTGCTTTTTCTAACTTTTTTTTGCACATAGCTAGGGTTCAAACTGTACTTCTGATCCTCCCCAAACTAATTTCACTCACTCACAATTTATCTATTTAGCTAATGCATGACACCTGCTGACCTTTTAGGGAAGCAATATTTCAAAAGCCATTGAGGGTTAAGTTTGTAACTCCAGCTCAGCTTAAGGTAAACTGATCTGCCAATGAGAGTGAAAAGTGCATGTGCAGCAAGACTGGGTCTCTGTTGCAAATTAGAGACTTTGCAGACAGCCTGATGCCAGTAACTGAGTGGGCTCACTGTGATATGCTATGGCCATTGAACCTGACCAGCACGCAAAGTACTGTGAGTTTGAGTCCTATCCGTGGCAACTTTCAAAGCATGTGTGTTGTGGGTGTTACTTTCTGTCTACATTCTGCCCTTTTGGAGCCTTATTGGAAGTTTTGTCTAGAGATCAATATTTCTGATTTAAGAACCAATATTTCAAAGTGCTCTAAGAGCTACATGCAGCATTTGATTTTACTTTTAGAAATCTAGCAAAGGAAAGTAGAATTAAAGAGAGAGAAGGTGAAAGACTCTCATAAGCAATTAGGATAATGTAATCAACTCATGCTTGTCAATGATTTCATGAACAATGGGACTGAATGTGATAAAAGAAAAGCAAGTCACTGAGTCATTTAGTCAAGGGATTACTAATATTCAGCCCCCCTGAAATAAGCTGCTAAATAACATTTTTGGAATCTGATAACTTTTCTGATGCAAAGCAATGGAAGATCTAAGAATTCCTTCCTTAAATGTACAGCATGGACTGCCACTGAGACCAGCTACTGAACAGGATCAAGAACCAATTCAGAAATATTTCAAGTTATTGCACTACAAAAGCTTTTGTACCTCTGCTTATAGACAGTAAGACATCTGTGCGAGCTATAGCTTACTCAGAAATAATTCTGTGAATGAAACACTGATTATATTTATTATTATTAGAGGCTCTTGTGCAACCCAGTAAGACACCCCAGTGTTTCCACCTGTCTAGTGCAATGTTTGTTGTTTAATTGTAGTCTACTTCCATGACAGAGACATGTTTTTCAATTATTTTCTTATATGTTATCTGTTGAGCTTTTTCCCATCTTCTACCAAGTGTTGTCCAGTCAAGGGCTTGTCTAGGAATATGGTTTTTTGGCATCTGTACAACATTCCCAAACTACTTTAGCCTTCTCTCTTGAATTATTGTCTCTCTGCAGTCTGTTGGCCGATCCAACACATGATAGTTACTTTATCCTACCAATGAACACCAAGTATTCTCCACAAGTATCTGTGATGCAATGCGTTAAGTTTTCTGTTGTTGGCTTGTAGCATTTGCCAAGTTTCCAAAGCATATAACTCAGTGACATTATAAAACTTTATCTTGGTTCTTGTGTGAATCTCTGCAGTTTTCCAAATATTTGCCAATCTCGACAAAACTCCACTTGCATTCCCAATTCTTGTTTCCAACTCCTAATTGAGTTGGCCAGCAGCACTGATTGTGCTTCCAAAATATACACCTTGTTAACCATACCATATTTATCACTATCAATCACATAGTTACCATCATTGCTGACTCCTCTTTCAATGATCATGAATTTAATTTTCTTTTGGTTGATTCTTAATTCTGTTTTGGCAGCCTCACATTTGACATTGATAGTGGTGTTTTTCATGGCATCATCATTTGTGTCCAACAGAACACTGCCATCTGCGAAGTCAAGATCTTAAAGTTTTCCTCTACTCCACATAACTTCTGTATCTTCCTTTGATGTTGCTCCTCGCATCTCATGATCTGTCAATACAGAAAAGAAGGGATTGTAAGATGCAATCTCTGCTGCCGTTCCAGTGATGATATCGAACCAATTGGTCTCTCCACTCTCTGTCCTTACATATCATTTTGAACCTTCATACAGCTTCTTGACTAGTGATTCTGTTTTTCTAGGAAGCGCAGGTTGTTTCTCCATGGTGACTCTCTATGAATTCACTCAAAAGTCTTGATTAAATCTATGACGTTTAAGAATAATCCTCTCTGGTAGGCAAGCCCTTTGCAATCAATTGTCTCAGGGCAATGATGTGATCTTCACACAGTCTTTTCAGTTTAAAGCCTGCTTGCTCATTATGCAGTTTTTCATTTATGACTACTTTTGATTCTATTCAATAGTATACTGGAGAACAGTTTTCCAGGTTCTAGAAGTAATGTTATTCCTCACCAGTTGTCACACATGAGTTGGTTGCCTTTCTTTGATAACTTATAGATGATACATTTCTTCCAGCCCACTAGGCAATGTTCTTTCTCTCAAATGCTATATTACAAAGTTCATGTACTGCCACATTCTCTCCAACTTAAAGCTCTTCAGCAGTAATCTTATCTTGACAAGATGCTTTGCTGTTTTTGAGCTGCTTAATTTCTTTCTCTGTTTCTGCTTCTGAAATTTCTAACTGTGAAATGTTTAATTCTTCACCTTCTTTGCATCCACCAACTGGAATTGTTGGTTGAGTACTTCAGATGTTCTTGTGGCACCTTAGAGACTTACAAATTTATTTGAGCATACGCTTTCGTGGGCTAAAACCAGTGGAAAATACAGTAGGAAGATATATATATGTACATGGCAGAGAGGCATTGTGCCAGCAATGTACATTGTCCGGTTTGGCCAGTCTCTACCTAAAAGATTAAATGGACACAAATCAGATGTCAACAATTATAACATTCAAAAACCAGTCGGAGAACACTTCAATCTCCCTGGTCACTCGATTACAGTCCTAAAAGACGTAATACTACAACAAAAAAACTTTAAAAACAGATTCCAACGAGAAACTGGTGAATTGGAATTAATTTGCAAACTGGACACCATTAACTTTGGCTTGAATAAAGACTGGGAGTGGATGTGTCATTACATAAAGTAAAACTATTTCCCCATGCTTATTTTCCCCCCTACTGTTACTCACACCTTCTTGTCAACTGTTGGAAATGGGCCATCCTGATTATCACTACAAAAGCTTTTTTTCCCCTCCTGCTGATAATAGCTCACCTTAACTGATCACTCTCGTTATAGTGGGTATGGCAACATCCATTGTTTCATGATCTCTGTGTGTGTGTGTGTGTGTGTGTCTGTCTGTCTGTCTATCTATTGTATTTTCTACTGCATACATCTGATGAAGTGGATTTTAACCCACGAAAGCTTATGCTCAAATAAATTTGTTAGTCTCTAAGGTGCCACAGGTACTCCTTATTCTTTTTGCTGATACAGACTAACATGGCTACCACTCTGAAACCTGTCCGATGTTCTTGCTATCACTCCTTTTGTTCTGCTTCTTTTGTTAACAATCTTCCATCTTTCACTTTTACAATATAATTCTGACTCTGGAACCGGGATAAAAATTGCTTACATACCTGAAACAGTTACTTAGTAACTCTCACTGATGCTTCTTTGGCTTCTGAAACTTTTTTAATCATGCCATTCTCTTTTGTCTTTCCAGCATAACTTCTTTACTACTTTGTCTTTCTCTATATACTGCCATTGCAATAGGTGGTGTTCTTCTTGGGTCACCTGTATTTGCCTCTTTTTGTGGGGGGCTTTTCTTTCCTCAGTCAATTTCCATGCACGTAGCTGTATCCATTCCCTTTTCCTTGATCTTCTTGGTTCAGGTGAAGTTGTGGCAGCTTCTTTGCAGACATCTCTGAAGCATGCCCATTGTTCTTCTATATCATCATCCAGTACCCACCACTCTTGAAATCTATTTGAGAGTTGGCTTTAAAATCCCTTTTGATTCCTGGGTCAGACAGTTTCTTCATATCAAATGTTATTTCTCTTTTCCTGTTAGCTTATATTTTTGGCCTTATTCTAATGGACTGTAACCATCTAATCATATTGTGCAGCATGCTCACTAGGTGGTTTAACAGAACAAATGCTATCCCTTGAACCCAAGGACACTGTCATTAGCACTCTCTCTCAGTGCATGGCATAGGTAAACAGGACTAAGATCAGGTGGGGAGGTGAGAACAATCATGCTCAGCACAAGCCCAGGCACATATTATTATTATTTTATTTTTATTTTGTTTTATTATCAGAGTGCCTCAGAACCCTAGTCATGCACCAGGACTTCATTGTGCTAGGAGCTTTACATACACGTACATAAAAAGGTCCCTTTCCCAAAGAGCTTAAAATAAGTATATGACAAGAGACAACACATGGATACAGATGGGAACTACAAGGAAACAATGAGAGAGTATTGGTCAGCATGCTAGACAATGGTCTCAGCTCACCAGCAGCCTAACTGTTGTCAAGAGTTTTGCTGGCATCTCGGCAAAGGAGAGTTTTTGAAGGTGGATAATGAGGTAGTTTTGCAGATGTTTTTGGGAGTACCTTCCAAGTGTAAAGGGCAGCATGGGGAAAAACACCAAAGGTGCTTGTTGAAAAATTTAACGAGTGATGGAAGCAGGCATCATGGATTGATTGGAGGCAAGTGTCGTCAAACTCAATAGTGAATGACAGATGATAGGGCAGTGATAAACCCTGAAGAGCCTTGAAAGTGAAGACAAGCAGCTCATAGTTGATACGATAGAGAAGAGGGATCCATGGGAGGTATGCAAACAGAGGGATGTGATGGTCAAAAGAAAGGGTTAGGAAAGTGATCTTTGCTGCAGAAGCATTCTGAATGAATTTGAGTGGGGCAAGATTGCATTTGTTAAGGCC